CCCACTTTGCCTATGGGGGTGTGTCAGACATATATGATATAGCCTATGTAGGCTGTAGTGGGGTAGACAATAGGGGGTACAGTCATTCTAGGGTTTCATACTTGTACCTTTCACATTCCTAGTGAATTCATTCCTCATTCTTCACAGACGGTGTGTTTTGTAGCATGGGGGGTTTGATGTGTGCGATATTCTGGTGTGTTGCGACATTGAATAAATCACTTGTAAGAGGGCATATTTGTGTGGCGTAACGTGGTGTGCCATACGCGCGCACGCAGCGCGCTGAGCGCGCAATAACGCGTACATTTCGGCAGTAAACGGATACCTAACCGTGTCGCGATCGGGTGGTGGTACGACGGCGCGCAGCGATGGGATCGACGGTTGGTATTCACACCGCGAATACCGCGGTCTAGTTGAGATGAAGCCAGGATGCATGCGTACGCGTGTGTGCAAAGTGGCATATTGGGTGTACGAGGTGTGGGTAACTTTGCGGCGAAGTATCCGGCTGTATTCAGAGTGCGCGCTGATTGGGTGGCGTGTGAGGAGTGTGCGGAAAACGGCGGGGTTGCGATGGGGCGAAATACGCGGGCGACGGCGGTTGGAGCCTATCCCGGCATCCAGTAATGTCACAGCGTTACGCTCTACCGCGGCTTGATTGGGCGTGGAGGTGGTGTGCGGAACATGCGGCCCAACAGTGTGCTCCATGACGCGCGCGGTAGTGTTCGATGTCGTGCTGGGATTGGGCGTTGTCAGGTTCGCGAATGCGCGCTAGTGGTGCACGAAGGTGTCCGCGTATGCAGTAGAGTGGTGGACGAAGCGGGGTTACCATGCCGTGTGCCAGTAGATAGCACACACGTGCTGGAGCCTGATTGGTGTACGTTTCATGGCCTACACCGTACGAGATCAGATCCGAGTACGGTTCTCGTTGCCACGGTGGCGCCGAGTTGTAACTGTGCGCGTGGCAACATGGAGGTGATCTTTCGGCAACATGCACGCAACTGCACGGCAGGTTGTTAGTGACTTGAAGTTGGGCGGAATGTTGCGGAATGGTGGCTGTAGGTTTGCAGGATTGTTGCAAGAGAGTTGCGGAAGTGTTGCGGAACTGCAACTTTTTTGCAAGTATTTCGCAATCCGCATTTCTGCAACATTTGACCATAACTGGAAAGTTGCAAAACCAAGGTATCCAAAAATTATCATTTTTGCAACTTTCCCGCAGCTTTATGGCAAGTCCATCTCAAAAATTCCAGCTCCCAAAAGCATCCTGAAACAATCCCGCGAGAGGCTTTCGGGTCACTTTTCACCACCATCCCAGAAGTGTCTTTCAGGAACAACTACCTGACAGATTTGGGAGTCCCAAAAATGTCCGGCAAGTCTCTTTTGAACCATCCCAGAAGACCCTTGAGAGACGCATGTGAACATTTTGGGGACATTTACTGTTCCGCATAGTACAAAAAGACAGTTTGGGGACATTCACTGTTCCGCCTAGCGCATTGTGGGGGCTGATTATACTTTTGGGATGCTTCATGCTGTGATTGGAGCACATGCAGTTCGGCTTTAAGTCCCTCTCTACAATTCGCAAAAGTGTTTATTGCCAAACATGTTCAACTATACTTGAATCACAACGTTAGTTAAAACAGTCAGCAATATAAATTTCCCCAACAGTATAATCCACAAATGTAAATAAACCAACGCATCTGCATTTGACACAATCAACAAATAGCCATAGCAAACAGGAAGTTTACTTGGAAAATGAGTTCTGCTGGAGAAAACGGGAAAGCATGTACAAACCAGGGAGCTGGTTACGACATTATACCCCTGAAACAAGAAATAACAAAATGACAGTTTAGAAGGCTATCGTTCAACTGCCCACACACAAAAACGAATGCTGCAGTGGACTTTACATGAGTTTAGAAAACATAGAAATTAACCATGTCAATAATATCTCAACATTCAATGACGGTTAGGAAGATCATCAAGTGGGTAACGAGACCTAGACGACATAAAAAGCACTGCAGCGACACTTCGTAAAAATTATGCTGCACATTTGCATGACGTACCTTCATTTATGGCAGACTGAAGAGGAAAACTTGGTCCTTCGTGAGAATCATCATCCACTGCAACAAAGATGTAAAAAAGAAAAAAAAGGGTAGAACCATGCATAATTAGACCATCATAAAACGGTCCATGGAAGGCGACACACATAAAACCAGGTAGTCATTAATAGGAGCAACACATACAGTGAGATACATCAAAATCGTACAAGTGAAGCTATTGTCAGAATGTTATTATCTAGCCTGTAGTGGGGTGATCTATAGCGAGTACAACCCAGTTAGGGTTTGCTATATGCTTCCGCTGCTCTACTGCTGTCGCGCGCCCCGGGCGCGCAACCCTTTCTTCCTGCCGCGCACTCGGAGCGCGCGGCGTTTTTCATCCCGCCGTGCGCTCGGGGCGTGCGGCGGTTTTCTGCCCGCCGTGCGCCCCGAGGTGCGCGACGGTTTCCTGCTTCGTGCGGCGGTATTCTGCCCGCCATGCGCTCGGGACGCGTGGTGGTTTCCTGCCCACCACGCACCCTGGGCGCACGCGGCGGTTTCGCGTTCCGTCGACCCGCACGCCCGTCCCCGTCGACCTGCGCGCGGCTCCCCGTCGCCCTTCGCGGCGGCCCCGTCAACCCGCGCGCGGCTCCCCGTCGCCCTTCGCGGCGGCCCCGTCGACCCGCGCGCCGCCCCCGGCGACCCGTGTGCCCGTCCCCGTCGACCCGCGTGTCGCCCTGCGGCCCCCCCTCCCCGCACACCTGCGTTTGCTTACCGCACACCCGAGTTCGCTTCCCGCACGCTTGTGCACGCTTCGCGCACACTTAAGCTCGCTTACCGCACACTCAGGGTATGGGGGTGACGGGTATGGGGGTGGCGGGTGTGCGCGGTCCCCTGCTCCTCCTCCTCCTCCGTCTCCCGCTGCTGCAGCTGCCGCTGAGGGGGGTGGGTGTGTGGGAGACGAAGGAGTGGTGCTAGGGGGGTGACGTGGGAGTGGAGCTAGGGGTGCAGCAGGGGGTGTGTGGAAAGGAGGTGGGACTGTTTGGGGAGGCTGAGAGGAGGCCGCCGTCGTGTCGTGCGCAGCGCCTGTAGTCCGGAGCCGTCGCGCTCTCGGTAGCCCAGAGAGCCTTGCTGTGCCAGTCGCCTGTGGGTCCGTTGCTCCTGCCGCTTGTCGTAGCCGCGGAGCCAGATATTCCCGTAGTCCGGTGCCCTCGTGCGCTCGGTAGCCACTGTGCCAGTCCTCCTGTTGCCCGTGTGTCTGCAGCTTCAGCTGTCGTCTCCCATCTTCTCTCCCTTCACAATTCCTCCTCCTCCTCACTTGCCCTTTGTGATCGCCTCTAGCTTTGCTTATAATTGTGAACTATTACTATGTCTGCTCATTGTGCGGATTACACCCCACTTTGGCTATGGGGGTGTGTCAGAATGTTATTATCTAGCCTGTAGTGGGGTGCTCTATAGCGAGTACAACCCAGTTAGGGTTTGTTATATGTACCCCAACTGCTGCTAGTGAAACTCCTCTTTCGTCATTCTTCTTTTGAACACTTGTTGATTTTGACAGCTATTACTTGAACATGGCGGTGTTTCAGCGGTGGTAACTAAGAAGTAAATACGTATTTCTGTTTTGGGGACAAAACAACTAGCAGAAGAGCTGAGAATCATTATGAAACTATAACAGGCTCGTCAGACGCTTAACATCTACGGGACAGTGAGAAACGAGTGCGAACACAACTAGAAGTGGAATACGAGTTACCAGGAACCTAAGGAAGAAACTTGGCAGGCACAAAAATAGAACACGTATAACTGAATGGAGAATGAGTGTGGGCAAGAAGAGTCGACTCAAGTTAAATGCAGTCAGTTTTGAACCAAGATGGGTAGTGATGTGGTTTGGTTGGGTCTAGGTAGTTTTTGCATAGGTAAACTGGTTGGGTCAGAATAGAGGAAGTCGATATGACAGGTGGTTGACAAGTGTTGATTGTGTGGTGTGCACGTGTATTTTTTCAGCACAGGTGGCAGGTGAAAAATGATGGGGGATGAAAGGTGGCGCGAGTGTTATCTGCCTCCCAGGTGACGCTGAGTTGGTGTCATTTGTGAGGCACACAAATTTCGCCTCCCTCCCCCCTCGATCGATTGTTTGTGAGAGGGGGGGGCGGGGGGGAAGGGAAGGGGGGAACTTACGAAATTGGCGAGAATTTCGCCTCCCCTGCCCCCTCGATTGATTGTCTGTGGAGGGAGCGGGGGAGGAGGGGGCAAGGGAGGGAGTTACGAAATTGTCGACAATTTCGCGTCCCCTCCCCCTCGATCGATTGTTCGTGAGGGGCGGGGGAAGGGGGGCGAGGGGGGGGGGGGGAAGGGGGAGGGGAGTGGGGTGGAAGATTGGCGAGAATTTCGAAACTGACGAGAGTTTCGAAATTGGCGACGGAAATGTTCTCTGTACTTGCTATAAACAAAAATATACAAAATGCCCTAACAGAGTTGCATATAAATTGATGTTTGTAGACGGAATTGGTGACACCATCTACAATAATGTAACGATACTTCTATTGTATATTTTACCATTTGATGCTGTTATGAATTTAAATTAATAACTCTAATTAACAACGACATCATATTAATATATTTTCATTACGCATTATACATAAGTTGTTACGACAAAAAACTGTACATTGGTGTAGGCAATTAACAGTATCCGTGGTAGTGGGTCGACTAGACTCGACACATTTTCGCGCAAAAGATGGCAATGTCATTGGCGACGGTCGCGAGATTCGAACCTGTGCGCTCTCGGTCTACAAGGCTCCCCACCACTATGACATTTCACACGTGTCAGATGGTTTCAGGACCTTTTTGTAATTTTTGCTTCATGTGCAGGGACAAGTTTAGGATGGAACACTTTCGGGAAGTACTGTACACTGTCCCGATTGTCCCTTTCAGAAGCGTAGACACATTTGGGACAGTTCGAAGAGACCCGAAAGAGGCTTACGTGATGGCAATTTTAGAGGTATGGATTTGGGACCTCAAATTTTTGGTGATGTCCTTTTTCGCGATGACGGACGCGTTGACGTGCGGCGCGCGGTTGTACAGCAGCGCCAGCACCACTCCGCGCAGCTGCGCGCGCCATAGGGTCACGTTCGCGGGCTCCGCGGGGGAGGGGTCAGTGTTGGCGCAGCAGAGGGGGTTCTCGTGCGCGCGGTAGGGCTGCGGAGGGCTGGGCGCGGCGGGGCAGGGGGTGGCGAATGGGGAGAGCTAAGATGGGAACAGAAGGGGTGGAAAGGGTTGAAGAGGGGGTAACGGGGGAAGAGGGGGAAAAAGGGGAAAAGGGGGAAGAGAGCGGGAGGGGAAAAAGGAAAAGGAGTTGCGAAAGTTGTGGAGTAATGGGTGAGGAAGTGCGGACGGAGAACTGGCGTGCGTGATGGGACGGCAGCGAAGGTTGGAATGGGGGAGGAGGTGGGGCGGTGAGAGGGGGAAGGGGAGGGAGGCGAAAGGGAGGGAAGTGCGGGTAGCGGAAAGAAACGGAGTTATATAAGCGGGTAAATAGCAAGAAAGAGGGTATTTTTGAAAATTCTCAAAGTTTTTTCTAGATTTTTCAGAAATACCTTCCAATGATACACGCGGGGAACGAGCAAAGAAAGAGGGCGGCCTACTACAGCACACACGACGCCGCCGCGACGCGGCAGCAGATTCGCAGCAGCGGCGGCGCACCTGGAGAGGGTCGCAGTCGCGCGGCGGTCCGGTGCGGAAGGCAAGCAGGAGGGAAGACGAGTCCCTCCCCGAGAGGAAGAGATACAAGAATAGGAGCACGAGCATAACGCAGCAGCCCGCTGCCGCGCTGACGTACCACTGGCGCAGCGTCGGCGCAATCCATGCCGGGAACGGCGGAGTCTCCTTTTGCGAGATCATTTCACGTGGTGACAAGTGGTGGACTCCAACGGAGGCATAGATGTCATAATCGTGACTGGAACTGTGAGTATGGTTGTGAGACTTCTCAAAAAAAAAGATTTGGACGGCGAAGGCCGCCGCGCGCGAGCCATCTGACAGCGCGATGCCACCACTCCATCGCCGATGGAGGTGATCGCGCGCCGCCTACTACTGGCGATGAGCGATTCGCAGTGATAGACCCGACGCAGGAAAGGTAAGAGTGCAGGTGTATCGGGCTCGTGAATGTAGTGAGTCTCCGAAGTGCAACGGTGTTGTGGTAGTAGGATCATAGCTATTGGGAGATTTTCGGGAACGACTGACAACGGCTTGGGGAGAGAAGAAGGGGCAATTTGTGATTTCTGCCGAGTTGAGTTGAGGTTGGGGCGGGGAATGTGGGCGGTGGGCGAGTACATTCGAGGATGCCGTACGCCACAACAACATTCCGCCTGCAGTGTATATTTTCTTTGCGAATGTTTTGAAGTTTTATTATCCTACAGTACTAGTATTTCATGTTTGAGCCCAGATGAGGCACTACGGGGCTCAAACGTACTTAGTAAATTCACTGAAAAAAAAATAGATTGGCGGTGTTCGCCAGCAACTCAGAAAACGACGACATTTTGGCGGCATCGGCATGGTGACCGCACCCGGAACCAGGGTGGAAACCCACCCAAGAGGTCTGGGCGTAATGCGGTCCGCGAAACTTCAATCCCCAAAACAGGAAATTTTACAACCGCATATGGAACCCCCATCCCCACCTTCCTCATCTAGTGGTGCGAATTTTACGCGCCACTGACCAATGCCAGACCGAGGGCAAAAAACGAACCAGGGTAACAAGCGCAAAAATAAAATTAAAAAACGAACGATTTCGACCAAGGGTGTGTTTCTATCACGTGTCAGACATTAGGTTTGACACGAAGTGGAGGTTCGGAAGACCCGAAGTGGCTCGTTTTTGGGGCGATTGGAAGTTCGGAAGAGACAAATTGGAGACTAAGGCCGCATGACTTGATGTCTGACACGGGATAGAAACGCACCCCAAGTCATGCGCAGGGGGCACTACGAAGGTGTGTTCGGGAGGGGGAAAATGGGGGGTATTCGAACCCCCCTTTGTCAAACAACAGGCTTGTTCAGAGGTTCCCCTCTGAACAGCAATGCGACGGCTGTGCCATCGCTGTGCTTCGAAAAACGCGGCATGGCAATGGCGTGGCTTGGGGATAGAGCTTTGCCTGAGGACGAAGTTGCGTCCCCGCTTCCATATGCCATCGAGCAGTTCGTTTTGGTGGACAAATGGGGGCGTTCGCCAGACACCCACTTTGATTGTAGGTTTGGACGGTTGGGGAGGCTCGGCACTTTTTTTACGGGCTGACCAGGCTGACGGAGGTAAACGAACCCTAACTGACGGGATCAGGAAGGCGAGACCCACCTTCCAGATCCCGTCATTATCCCATGGTTTTTTGCTTCATTGGTTCTGGCGAACAGCACCATTATGTTTTTCCCCGTGTTTACTTCGTTGGGGAGGAAAACAGAGTGACGTCCTTGTGAACACTGGCATGGACGACCGGACGGCTACCTGTATGATTTGCGATGTACAGTAACACATTCTTCGGAACTATGCACGGCTCAAATGTGACCCCATTCTTGCTGGTTTGACTTGACATTCACATCAGCAGGACGTCAGCTGGATCGACCAATCCCCTCCATCCGATCCGCCGCAGCGCACCATGGAGGGTTCCTCCTTCGATCAGCCGCGCCGTGCAGGCATTGGCGAGGAGTGTTGCTGGTCAAGGGGGGAAAGCCGCATAATGTCAACCACACGATCGACCACATTCGTAGATTCTGCACAGCTGACTCAAGATCCGGCGGCGCAGGAAGCCTCATCCCAAGCCGATTTTCCCGCTTCTACCACAGCATTACTTTCGTTCTCCTTCTCACCACACACATTCTCTAGAAATATCTCGAGGGAACATGTTACAAGAATCTAGAAATCTAGGCACTCTGTGCTACCACTTCAAATGACCCGACACACCATAGAAGCTCCACTCTGGAGGATTGAGGCAGCTTTTCGGCTGCATGCAAGGGTCTTCATGAAACACGCGGGTGAAAAACTGCAGAAGGACAGCGCAACAGAGCGGAAGGGGACACGTGGAGGAGGGCCCAGCCAGGAGATGAGGCTTCTTGATCGAATCAGAGACAGAAACGCAAAGAAGTGGACGTGGAAGGCGGGGTTTGCAGCCATCTGGACACGACAGAGAAGGGGCGGCATCAGGCCGGGGCAGCTACACTGAGGCGGGTTACCACCTAGCCTCCAAGCGCAGTTACGGCTGTTCTTGTTTTGTACACTTGCCTTTTCGGTGTATAATGCAATTACCAAAAAAAAAAAAAAAAAAAAGAAGCTCCACTCAGCACAGCATGCCAAAAAGCATCATCATATGTCAAGGGTGACTAGGGAAATCACTTTATTCAAAACACGATTTATCATTCATCAATGTCCAACGTAACATGGCCAGCAAACCCCCTCCCATTCGTAGCTCGCAGCCCATTGAGCAACCCATGCCACGCAGACCCTCTAGCCCCTACGAAATAATCACTCTCCGATGCAATCAGGAGCGTCGCGAGGCGACTGCTGGTAACCTCTGGTAACCCCACCGCCTTCTCATACTCGGCAAAGGCTTGGCCTTGTTGCAAGCGGGGGTTTTGGGAGTGGATAAAGGTCCAGTCGGGGTGATGGTGAGACTCCTCTATCACGGACTGTTGTGGATGGGATCAGGAAGAGAAAGAAGAAGTGATGTAGGGGATGGTGTGAAATGGGGAAGACGGGGGCTCCGATGCAATCACAAGTGTAGCCAGGCAACTTTCCAGGCACAAGCCAGGCACAAGCCAGGCACTTGCCAGGCACAAGTGTAACCTCTGGTGAACAGGAACAAAAAAGGAAGACGCACTGGGCAGGGCAGGGCAGGGCAGCAGCTCTGAGATCCCAGCCTGTTTCAGTGATGAACAGCAAGCGACAGTCGTGTGAGGCCATGACTGAGGTGAGCACAGGACAGAGCTTGAGAATGAGGAGGAGTGGGAGGTAGCAGGTGGTGAGGTGAGGGCGGTGGTGGTGCGAGGTTTACAAGGTGCTGGTGCGGACCCCATTGCTGGTGAGAAAGAAACTACAAGCTTGTAGGGAGCTAAGTGGTGGTGTGTGGCTAAGTGCTGGTGGAGGAGTGGCATACACCGGGCTGGAAGGCTTAGATGCATAGAGCAACAGACATGCACATCGGGTGCTGTGGAGAGGTGGGAGTGAAGGCGGAGGAGGGAAGTTGGAGTCATCTTTGAATGAGGCGGGGTAGAGCAGCAGGCATGGTAACACCCCCACACACACCGTATGAGATTCATTTATCATAGGGCCCAGCATTCTCAAGTAGACATGGTATCAGAGAAGAGATCTGTGGCATCACGAAAGGAGATCTGTGGTGATTGTGAACGGTATCACCAGGAAGCAGGCAGGGCAGGAGGCAGGCAGGGCAGGAGGCAGGCAGGGCAGGAGAGTATAGCAGCAGAGGCGCATAGCATACCTGAGCAAGGGAATTGACTTTTGAGTCGACTCAAAAGTCAACCTTGAACGGTGTCACCAAGGCAGAAGCAGGGCAGGAGAGTATAGTAGCAGAGGCGCATAGCGTAGCATACCTGAGCAAGGGTGCTGAGCCAAATGTATCTCATATCCGGAACGGCCAACCGCAAGCGATGCACAAACCCCATGATCGCACTCAGCATCAACCCCCACCTCTCCTCCCCCACCAGCCCTCCTGCTGCCACTCCTCCTCCTCCTGCTCCCCCTTCCGCCCCTCCTCTGTCACCACTCAGCGCCAGCTGTACGCTCACGATTGGCCGCATCACATACACCTCCCCCCCAACCCCCTCGTAATCCCTATCCACAACCACCCTCCCCCTGCCCTTCTCCGACTTAACAAACGCATCATCCTCCTCCGCTCTCCCAGTCAAACCGCCACCCCGAGCATCAACACACCCGGCAAAACCCTCCCCAAGCCACCCCCTAGTGTGCAAGGTCCAAGCCGAGGTGAAATTGAGGCGGGCCAGAGCCACGGCCTCTTCTGAGCCGTTGATCTTGTTGATGTTCTCGGGCGTGCCGTCGGGGTTGGCCACGTTGCGGATGATTGCGGTCTGCTGGTTGCGGGATAACAGCATGTGTGTGGCCACGCGCAGCCCGTACGCGGAGTGGCGCATGCGGTTGGTGGCGTGGCAGAGCAGCGCGGAGGGCCAGCGCAGCAGGAAGCGCAGGGCTTGGGCCTGCCACCAGTAGGCCTGGGGGACCGGGGGGGGCAAGGACGGGAGGGAGGGTGTAAACGCGGGTGCAGGGTGGCGAACATCGCATGTGCGTACAAATAACGGATAAAAAAGAAGCATTAATGTGTGTGTATATATTTACACACACACACACACACACACACACACACACACACACACACACACACACATATACATATTTATGTCGAGCCGTTCCCCTCAGGCAGCTGATTGAAGAGCCACTGACCTTGAGTGTGGCGTCGTCATTCCTCACCACTCCCTCCACCTCCAGTACGCTCGCCTGCTGCTGATACGCCTTGCCCCACCGGCTGTTGGCCGTGACATGAAGGCGGGGGGGGGGGAGACGGGAGAGAGGAAAAGGCGAGAAGCAGCAGGAGATGAGGAGGGGTGGGGAGAGAGGAGAGCGGCGGAAAGAGGAGAGCAGGGAGAAAAAAACATCTGAAAGAGAGATCGCAGGGACTTGCCCCTGCAAAATTTGAGACGAGACATCGTTTCAAATCAGTCAAGCAGCAAGCAGCACTCCCTGCAACCCTGACATGCAAGCTGATATCTGAGTCAGGTCTCGGAGCCCTCTAGCCAGCAAGACAAAGAACAGCAAGAAGGGGAGTGCTGTGGTAAGGTCCACAGAAAAGTGCATACTCGGCAGCAGCGGCGGCAGCAGAAGCAATAGCCTGTCTCCCCAGCACGCCCTCCCCCCTCAGGTCCTGCAGCGAGCCCCCTTTCATGCACACCACGGGCTCCTGCCCTTTCAGCAGCGCCTCTCTCTCCCCCGCTCCCTCTGCGCCTGCGCTTAGTCCATCCAAGCATGCGGGCATGGTGCTGCTGCTGGCGGCTGCGGCGTCTAGAGCCGTGCGCTCGCAGTCCTGGGAGACGAAGGGCAGGAAGTAGCAGTGCAGCGCGCCTGATGCGGAAAGGTCTGTGGGGAAGGGGAGGGAGGGGGGAAGGGGGGTGGAGGGGGAGGAGCGGGGAAGGGAAACGGGAACAGAAGGACTGGGAGTGGGAAAGTGGAAGGTGGGGAGACGGGGAGGGAGGAGTGGGGAAGCAGAAGGGGGAGGAAGGAGGGCAGAGAAACGGGGAGGAGTGCAGGGGCGCTGTGGGTGTGGGAGAATGGGAGGGGGGAAGTGGGTGGAGGGGAGTGGGAGGGGGGAATTGGTTAGGGGGGAGTGGGAGGGGGAAAGTGGGTGGGGGGGAGTTGGGGGAGACGGTAGGTCCTGATTGTAACTTCATGCACGCACAACCCTTCCCTCTCCCCCGCCGTCCACCCTTTTCCTTCCCCTTTCCCCCCACCCTGGTCCCCCATCCCCCCTCCTCTCATTCCCCCTTCCCCTGCCTCCCTCCCCCGGGGAGTCTCCCCTCCCCCCCCCTCCTTCCCCTTCCACTTTCCTCCCGTACCGTTGCAGTGGCCGTGTTTGGCGGGGGGGAACGCGCCTCTGATCACCAGCACACGGTCAAACCGCACAGCCAGGCCTAGCGCCGCCGCTGCCCACTGCAGCAGTAACGGCAGGTCCGACCCTGTGGTAACCGCACCACTACCCGCACCACCAGCACCAGCAGCACCAGTGGAAGCATCAGCAGCGGAGTCGGGAGGGGGGGGGTTGGGCCAGTCGAGGAGTAGCAGGCGCTTGCCCGCGCAGGAGGCGGGGAACTGGTGCGCCCACAGGTCCCTCTGCGCCACGCGGGTTAGGGGGGGGTTGCCCGCGTCTGATCCGCGCACCTGGGGAAGGGGTGGGCGGGAGGGGGAGGGAGCACGGGGGATGTGTGGGGAGCGGGGAGGGAAAGAGGATTGAGACGAGGAGGAGGCGGGGAACTGGTAGGCGGTAGGCTGCCCGCGTCTGATCCGCGCACCTGGAGGGGATGAGGCGGGGGGAAGGGGGAAGGCGAGGGGGCGAGGATGTGAGCAGGTGAAGTGGTGAGAGGGTAGATGAAGGGAGAGCGATGAGAGGGAAACCAGGGGGCATGGAGAACGGGAGCGGGATGAGGAAGGCGACAGGCGGCGGGAATGGAGGTTACAGACAGTAAGCCTTTGCCGCAAGGCGCAACTCTCATCCACCCGCGCGCGCAAATTCCCCCCATGCGCGCAACTCTCGCCCGCAAACCAACCTCGCCCTCCCCCTCGCGCGCAAGGCTCACCCACGGGGGTTGCGGGTTGCAGCCGCAGCAGTTGCTGGGGCGCGTCCACGCGGGGGGCTCCCCGTCCGCCCCGCGCTGCTCCGCCGCCTGGCGGAACGCCGTGCGCGCCGCGCAATCCTCGAGGTGCGGCGCGGGGGGCACGTTGGGCGGAAGGGAGATGTTGGCGGGGGGAAGATGGTTGGAGGGCTTCAACCCGTAGATGTCCTCCCAGGCCTGGGGAAAGTGGGGGGGGGTTGGGGGTGAGGGGGTGAGTTCTGAGTCGACTCAAAAGGTGGTTGGAGGGTTTCAAGCCGTAAATGTCCTCCCAGGCCTGGAAAGAGAGGGGGTTGGGGGTGAGGGGGGCCGGGGAGGGGGGTGTGGAAAGGAGGAGTAAGGAAGGGGGTGCGGTTGGAGAGCGCGGGGGGAAGAGTTTGAAAGGGGAAATGAAAAATGGGGATCGGAGGATAGCGCTGACCAGTGCAATGGAAAGGCGAAAAGCTTCGTTGCATGACAAATGGTGCTTGTAGCGCGTCACGCGTTGAGAGTGGAGAGTCAGGAGAGCCGATAATGAGGGCCCGAGAGCAATGTCGGTTGAGAGTCGAAACGAGGGAGCAATAGCCTCGAGAGTGGAGCCGATGCTCTGAAACGAGCCGGGTTTGGCGCCGTGGCGGGGATGGTCCTCGCGAGGATGTTGTGAAACGAGTCGAGGATGCTTTAGAAACCGTAATAAAATAGACCAAGCTGGCTGACGGAAGAATCCGTCTGTTGAGGGGCGAGATTACTTGACCAGAGGGTTGTTTGCACGCTAGGGACACCAATTCACGCGTATATGCACTGATTATTTTATAAAAGCTTATATTGTGCTAGTTAGGGATTGGAACACCCTGGACGATCGACGTCGCGTCATAGGCATGTCAAGTCGCCCGAGAATCGACATCCGTCGCCGAATGTCGCGCACCGTCGCACGCGTCACAGCACACCCACACCTACCCGATACAGCGACATGGCGCGTTCGATCCCGCCGTCGCCGCCCATCGCGCCGCCAGGCGCATCGAGGATCTGCGACGCGGCACGAGAGGAGCAGCCTATGAGGAGAGCGAGAGCCGCTAGGAAGAAGCTTAGTGGACTCATAGCGATCAACAGCTGATGGAGACAGCTGACGGATTAAGACACTCGTGGTTAAGCCGGGTTACAACGGTCTAGAGGCATCGTCTCTATTCTCTCTAAGTTCAAGAGATCGCGGCGCAAAGGCGACAGGTCTGGTGGCAACTTGGGTTCGGCTCGGCAGTATTATCTGGTTGGTTCTGACTAGTTAGGTGGTGGGTGGCATAACATTGAATGGGTACCATGGTACAATGTTCGTCAGAAATCACATCCAGTGCGGTACTGAACGTTTCAGTGCGCTACAAAACGAAAATTACGACTGCCTGTACGCGAAATTGACCGCTTCAGATATTGGCTCTATCTCTTTGTGATAAATCTAGTTTATACCACATCACCGTTTACTTGCCTGAGCTAGACATTACGAAATGGAGCATGGAAGCTACGACCCTTATATCATCGGCAACACTCCCACTACGTTGATGCAATAGAATAACAAAAAACAAGAGCACAATCTTTCATCATCCCCACGACGTACCATCACCTGACGGCCAGGCCCCCAGAAGTCAGAAAAAATTCTCTGATTTGCATGAAAAACTCTGATTTCCAGCCTATTTTTAAGTGCAACTCTGAAAGTTCAGAATTTTTTATGACCTCAACTCTGAAAGTTCATATTTTTTTATGGCCTCAACCCTGAAAGTTCATAGTTTTTTTCTAGTGTACTCTGATTGAACAGACTAGAAACGCGTACCGACTCTGATTCAATGTACCTGTTTTGGCGCCGTAACCCGGGATTGGCGGTGGCACAAGACTGTTACCCCGTCAATCACGGGTGATCAGTGACAGCACATCAGTTTCCACACCGACGCCGCCCTGCGGCGCGGTTTCCCCCTCGTAAGCACCAGCGCACACCAGCTTTGGGTGTTGATTGGTCCTTTTGGCAGCTTTTGCTAGCCACACTGGACCCCAACGGCACCCACGTTGCTGCATTTGGCAGCCACGAAACCCTGCAGACAGCAGTGCACAGCAGTAGCGGCTCGTGGTTTGGCGTGCATGGTAGGCAACCAGCCCACTGGAACGATGGCCCGCGAAGGGGTAAAGAGCCATCGTCGGAGAGCTGGGGTTTCATCCCCACCTCAGACTTCAGCGGCCTTGTCTGCACCCAGTCCCAGTGCTTTTTGTCTGCTGCCACCACCTCCCTAGTGCCTGCTCGGCAGGCTTTCTCAGCCCCGCCATGGCGGTTCTCGACGGTACCGCCTCAGGCGATGACGATGATGCCGTCCCTCATGCTAAAACCGGTCTAGACTTTCTGCTTAGCTCACTAGCACTAGAGAAGGTTGCACGTTCTACGCCTGACACAATCCCCCTCCCGAAGGAAGCTGCACCTGCTGTCTTAAGTCCACCTGATGCTGCTGAGGCGATGGACGAAGAACCCACCGTTGGTTCTGCACCGCAACATGTCGTGAAGCCGCCCGCCACTGCTGCAGCCCGCAACGTCCGACTTAAGCAGGCGACGGGGCTCGGCAGCCGCTGATCGATCAAGTCACGGTCGAAGAGGAGAAGCTGCGTGTGGAGTCCCTTCTTGACTCACTGCTGTTTGTCAGCAGGTGCGACGCGCCAATGGGACTGTGGGTGAAGCTTGTTCGGTACTTGGCGGAGAAGGGTGTGAAGGGATTTCCCAAGAAGGGCTACGGCACATACTACACCACGTAAGTTATGCTAGTTGCTTTGTACATAGTATGAAACCCTGCTTTCCACGTTTGATGCGGAAACATTTCACTGACAATAAACTTTTATGTGCAGGTACGGGTTCGGGGAGTTAACGCAGGCGACGTCAACTTGGCTTCAGACAACCCAGCTGGAGCACGTGCTGACAAGTCCCTTCGTCGGCATCTCCATTGACGAGAGCACGGATCGGTGCAGTGGGAAACACATGATACTCTACGTGACTTTCGTCCGCGACAGCAAGGTGGCGACAGAGTTCATGGCCCTCATCACCGTGGACAAGGGGGACGCTGCCACACTGCTTAGCCTCCTGGTTTCGCACCTGCAGGCCGTCCGCATTGACTTGAGGCGGATATCCGGCATCAGCACTGATGGTGCCAACGTCATGATGGGTAGCAAGGGGGGCTTGGTGACGCGCCTCCGCCTGCGCATCCCCCATTTGGTGTCTTCGCACTGCATCGCGCACAGGTATTTGACTCTTGTTTAAGTCTTGGTGCATGGTTTTATTTGGAGACTCAGTTCTAACCAACCTTGTACTTGTTTCAGGGAGGCTTTGGCGGCCAAGCATGCTGCTGAGGACATCCCGGCTTTCAATGTCGTCGACAAGGTGATTCGCACCGTGGCTGAGCATCTCGGCAGGTCGGGGCCGTGGCATCAGCGGTTCATGGATCTCCAAGACGTCTTCACCTCAACGAGCCTGGAACTGCAAGGGATCCATACAGTTCGCTGGCTCTCGCGGGGCGATGCTGTGCTGCGGTTTATCGCCGTGCTTCCAGCGCTGATCGTCATACTGAAGGAGTGGGATGCTGACCTGTATGCCCTGGTGAAAAGCTACAGGTTTCACTTTCTCCTTTTTTTCATTGCTGACGTGCTTGAGCAGCTGAACATCTTGAACAGGGCCTTCCAGCACAAGGAGGTGAGCATGTAAATGGTGTTTTCCTTGGACATGGTGTAGTCGTTTTATTGTTGTATATGGTTTGTCTCTAACATTTGTTTTCTTACCGTGTTTAACCCAGCTGGATTATGCAGGCGTCTATGGGCAGATAAAGCGCACCACCACTCACATCGAGTCGCGCTATGTTGACTGCGGTGACGACTTCGGTGGCGGCGTAAGCGAGCGGCTGTCTCCTTTCCTCGCGCGTCATGGGCCCGGAGGAATGGGTTGGTATGGTTTTCTGTAATGTGGTGCTACCTCGGTCAATTGTGTCGCTTTATTTCTCTGCGTTCTACCACCCATTGTGCTACCAACCCGCGACAGGAATCAACAAGCGACGTGCGCAGAAGGAGGTGCGCATGTTCAGCTCGGTACTTGCAGCGGCCAGCAGGAACGAGCGCAATTTCCATGTTGGACTCACCGCCATGCTGAAGACGCCGGACTGGCGGGAGAACTACCCCAACCTGGTGCAGCTGTGGGTGGCGGTAGCCGTTCTGCCGCTGAGCACCGTGGAGTGCGAGCGTGGGTTTTCGCGGCAGAACATCATCAAGTCCTGGCAGCGAGGGGCGATGAAGGATGCACGGCTTGGGGATCTCATGTGCATGAGCCTCATGCAGTATGAGCCCAAGTGGGATGAGATTGTCACCATCTGGCGCAGCTGCAAGAAGCGCAAGCCTTACAGCGACGCTGCAATCGATGCAGCAAGGGAACAGAGCAGGCAGGGCACTGATCCTGCAGATCGGATGGACGTAGTCGACTTAGGAGATGACGATGCTCTTGAATTTGATGACGATGACTGAGTAGTTTTACGGTAGTTTTTTGTACAGGCTAGTAGTTTTTTGTAGTTAGCAGTAGTACTGGTAGGTAGCTTTTTGTAGTTAGTAGTAGATTGGTTGGATTGGATGCATGCTGTCCCGTGCAATGTTAATGTTTGAATTGAAGCATGACCTATATGTTGGGCTGAAAAACCCTTAGGATCTTTGCAGGGGTGAACTCTGGGTAGAGTTGGTGTAGTAGCGGAAGCGTTAATTAAAGAGTTGTGAACCACCTTGCGCTAGTATGTGAGGGCAAAGTAAGTTGATTAAAACAAAGAGATACAAGCTTTTATAAGAGTACAAGGAATACGAAGAGATACAGTTAATAACCGTTTTACTATTGCTGTTGCGGTTCGATACAGTGACGACTCGGGCAACTGCTCAATACCGAGTCAGTTGTTTGTCCTTGCTGTCGCGCTGTACTTTGTCAGGTCAAAGGTCGCTGACCTTTGACTTTCGCGTAACCTCCAACAGTTACTTTCAACCTCCGAGGGTTGACTCGCCGGTGATTTGTTATACTTCGTTTCTTTTGTGTCTTAGTGTTTCGACACGACAGAGGCGCTTAGGACCGATTGTTTCCAACACTCCCCTTCGCTTCTGGAGTGTCGCTGACGTGGCTCTGTCCAGTCAGCAGCATGCAGTATTCGAACTTCTGCTTTCCGAGCTTCTTGGTCAGGTAGTCAGCTGCCATCTCGGACGTGGGACAGTATGACAGCTCGAGCCTTCCCTTCTCGATCTCGTCCTTCACGAAGAAATATCGCAGGGCGATGTGTTTCGTCCTGTTCGCGAAGCCGTTCTTGTTGGCGATGCGAATTGCCGACTGGTTGTCGCAGAACAGGGTAAAGTTGGGTAACTCGGCTAACTTCGCTTCTTCCAGCAGCTCGCGAAGATAGAGTCCTTCCTTCGTGGCTGAGCAGAGTGCAATATATTCTGCTTCAGCTGACGAGAGAGCAATTAATTCCTGCTTGCTCGACTGCCAAGAGATAGGTCCGATAGGTTCGAGGCGGTAGATGTAGCCGGTGCGGGAGCGCCTATTGTCGGAGTCGCCAGCGTGATCAGCGTCGACGTAGCCGATTAACTTAGTCGGTGTGGTTGCGTTCTTGTAGTAAGTTAGGCCGATCGTTGGGGTGCTGACGAAGTAGTGAAGAGCGCGGTCGAGCTCCGCCAGATGTTCTGCTTCAGGCTTCTTGAGGTAGGTGGCGAGCTGGCTTGCGGAGTATGAGAGGTCGGGGCGACAGGTGACGGCTGCGAAGAGAAGACATCCCAGCTTCTTCTGGTAGTCTCGTATGCCGGCGGGCTTGAGTAGAGCGGAGCTTCCTTTGTCGTTCCCTGCCGTGTAGCGGTATGGCGTGGAGATGGCTGTCGGTGTGAGCGTAAAGCGTTTGGCGATGGTGTCGGCATATTTCTCGGCGCTGAGGTAGATCGCATCCTCCTCTTCCCGGATGTTGAGGCCGAGGTACTGAGTGACGGTAGATGAAACTGTGAGCGTGAGATCTCACTGCAGCTCCCCTTCGAACCAGGTAGTGATGCCGTCATTTGAGCCGATGTAAAGGAGA